TATAACTTTTCTACCAATTACGAATGTAGACTTCACTGTTTTATTTGTTTTTAGTATTTTGCATTTATTTGTTTTATTTTTTAATTCTCATTTTTTTCGAATTACGAATTTAGACTTAAATTTTTTATTTTTCGTGTTTTTATTTAGTTTCGTTTTTTTATATTTTTATTTTTTTAACTAATTACGAATTCAGGCTTCACTTTTTATTTGTTATTGTATTTTCCATTTTTTTATTTTTTTATTTATGATTTTTTCCAATTACGAATTTAGGCTTCTTTTTTGTATTTTATTTTTTTTTTGTTTTTCTTTAATTATTTTTTTTAGGTATTTTTTTAATTTTATTAAATAACTTTATGGAATGCTTCTCTCAGATAAAATTAAACTGAGAATGAATCGTCAGCTTCGGAAAACTGAAAATTTAGAATTAATTATCTATACGTAGCGATATCATATTACTCGTCATGTTAAAACGTATTTTGCGGGTTATTACATACGTGAACGTACTGTTTATCCCATTCAGCTTATACGACTGTTATATCACGTCATTTTCTTTCGTATGTTTTTCGATCCGTGAACGGATGTTACGATTCGGACCCAGGTCTAAAGTCACGCAAATAAGATCCAATGCGTTTATTTACGGTCTTTCACAAGACCTTACAGTCGATGCTTAGAAGGCTGATCCCGCGATAGTTGGCGCATAAAACGAGGTCGCCTTGCTTGTGGATTAGTCAGAGCACACTTAAGTTTCAATCGGCAAGCAGGCTTGCATAGAAGTTGGCGCAAGTACCTCACAAGCCACTCGCCGCTTTATTTGAATAGTTCGGCTTAGAATATTCATAACTGTATTATTTTTGAGCCATGCTGTTGGTAGTCGAATCTCGTTGGGGCCAGAGAAAGGAACATCGATTTCGTCGTAATTGATTGAATGCTTGGGGCCTTCTCTATCTCCGTAATTCTCACTATTGCTGCCATTCAGCATAAGTTGAAATAAATAAATTAAACAAAAAGTAATTTTTTAGAAAAAAACAAAACCGACTTCAATTCGCTAATAAAAATTTAAGAGTACCGTTAATTTCTTCATGATTCAATGGTCGGATTTATATAGACAGATGTGGTGAAGCCCACTCTCTAAAGGAACGATAAGCTCTCTCTCACAAAAATTTTCTTCGAGAATGGGCTGGATTTCAAATTCACACCCAAGGTAGAATACATTAGTTCACGAAGGCTCCGTTATGCTGGAGAGTGGCCAAGTTATCATGTCGATGACCACCCTCATCGCTCGTTCATTATCTAGGGCGAGGCAAGATATTCGTTTTTCAATTACACATGCCAACAAAAATGGGGAACATTTTTGGTGCGGCATATGTTATAGCCATTTTTGATAGACTTTGATGAAAAGTATCGATATTCTGTACTCGGTACTCGTATCGTACTATCACTAGTCCTTTGTAAAAGTGCAAAAACACAGCGAGCATGACTTTACGAAAAGTTCAAAATTTTATTCCGAATATTAGAAAGATTTATTTTGTTTGGTTTCATTTTAATGGTTGACTTAACTCATTAGAAACGCAAGTAAAAAAAAAACGATTGCCCAAATCTCAGCAATAATAATAAACTGCAGTCATAGCTGATCGTCATAAAGAGATTATATTTGAAATCCTGTCTGAAATTTCGTGACCGAAATAATCAATGTCGATATACTATATGTATGTAGTTACAAAAAAAGTTGTATTTGAAAAACAAAATTATGTACAAAAAAGTGTTGAAAAAAGTTTTGAATGATACCTACTACATCGGGCGACAAAAATAAAAAAATTTGAAAACACTCGAAATAATCGACATACACACGAAGCTATGGGCTAAATATAGCAAAACTGCGTTTTTAGTTTTTCACACTGACGTCAGGATTTCTTTTCAAAATACTTTGAAATTTTAGTGATATGATTAATTCAAAAAATTATTTAAAAAATTCAGTGCAATGTAGAAAAAAAGTATGGGTACCAAATGAGAGATAAAATTCTGTAGAATTTAAAAACAAAAAATTTTTTGGTTTACAGGGACGAGTAGGTATTGAAAATGTGCTTTTAATAAATTTAATCTTTTTAAGTTAATTAACTTTGCACGACGACATTCGATGATGAGTTCGTGTGTATATTAGTCCTCAAACAATAATTTTTTCAAAAATATATATTGCAAATTTTCAAGAATTTTTAAGGACAAAATTTGTAAAGGACATTTTCCATGTCCACTCGTCCTTATGCACCAAAAAATTTATTCTGTTATAATTCTACAGAATTTTTTCTTTTATACGATACCCTTATTATTATCCTCCATTGCTCAAAATTTTTTAAATAATTTTTTGAAATAATCATATTTTTTAAATTTCAAAGTCCTCTTAAAAAAATCCTGACGTCAGAGAGAAGAACTAAGAACGCAGTTTTACTATAATTTACCTATAGTTTCGCGAATATATTAATTTTTTGGTGTGTAAAATATACTGTCGCACGGTGTTTTCATTGTAAAAGTGAGTGCCAATTAAATAAAGTCTGAAGAATTAAAAACGTTTGTAGCTACGCCTCTAGTTTGAATGCTTAGTTACTTTTTGGAGAGTGGAGAGACCTACAATTTTAGGCCACCTCCGCAAGGCAAATGCAATTATAAGAAACTTTTTCAAGACAGAAATACTCGCGGAGGTTTGTGAATGCCTGCCGAGGGGTGAAGTCAGTTAGAATTTTTTTTCTAATTTTGTTGCTCGGACCAGTGATGGAATCTAGGTCCTGCATAGTGCTATTACGCACCTCTAACAACTTACGGCCATTATTATTAAAAAATAAAATTTAGCAAACGAGTTAAAAAATGTGAGAAGTTGCCTAAAAATATTAAAAGGCTTATCAAATAAATTCAGAAGCCAATGTGAAAAGGCGTGTTAAATTTAAAAAGGGGTGTGTGTTAAAGGCATAAGTGACGCGTGCGGGAATAACTGGAAACTGTAGATGGAAACATAAATAAATTTGTATACAAACTCAAATATTTACCCAAATGTCGATCGAAAAATAGGTAACCTAAAATTAGAGTTGGTGTTTTTCGTTGCGAAATACTTCTAACTAATTAGGCTATTTGGACACATGACAGAAATTCGTCATCAGCTTTGACAATTTTGTTATCATCATACATACATATTTGCAAAGCGCTGATTTATTTTCGTGTGCCACTACAAATATGACAAATAAATACAATTTGTATTATGCTCGTATATACATACGTATATGTACATATGTTTATTCATTTAACAGCATGAAAGATGTTGTTTTTTGCCTTTGATTTCGATCAACTGGAAATATGTATATACATACCTATCTGTATTTTAGCCGTTTTTTGTTCGATTCCGCCCTTTTTATTGGCATTATTAAGTGATCCATCAGCGTGTGGCGGTAGCACTGCGTAAAAAATACATACATACAAATTTTTATAATACATACATCAATACAATACATACAAATCAGTTTAGTAGCCAGCCCATTAGAGAGGCTCATAAAATAATCTCTATGGTGTGGAATTTCACACAGGTGCTACTTGTGATACGCAAACGGGTGTATGCACTTATGTATGTACATATGTGAACGCTGATAACAATTTTTCGCGGCTAGAATATCTTTAATGTTTAAAAAATTAAAGTGAAAATCAGTGAGGCTTTCCAGTTTACTATCTTTATCAAATTTGCATTGCCGTCGCGTTTGGCGCCTAACAATATAATAGCCGGTCAATTAATATATACACTGGTGGCCCTATAATTAGAAACGATTTAATATTTCAAGTTTTGACCATCAATTTTTATTTATTATTTTTAATCTATTTTGTTAGGAAAATGTAGTGCATGCTACAACAAAAATCATGTAATTCAAAGCTTTAAACTTGGTATAAGGTTTATAATAATTCGGCGAATTTCGAAAAATATCTAACATCAAAATTTCAAACTTTTTTTTTGTTAGCGGTGTTGCTCATTTTCTCCTGTACAAAAAAATCGTTTCAACATACTTTGTGTGGAAGAAATCGCTTAACATAGTCATCGAAAAAATTCTCAAAAATCAACGAGATTTGTGAGCTAATTCAAACTTGCACAGCATTATACTAAAATTGAATGCGCTACAAAACTGCATACCCCGATTATTTCTAGAAATTCCAAATTAAAAGTTTACAATTTTGATGTCCATTTTTTTAACTTCGTCGAACTATTATAAATCTTATACGAAGTTTAAAGCTTTGAGTTATTTGGTTTTCGTTGTAGCTTCCAATATATTTTCCTAAAAACAATATGTTGAAAATAATAAATACAAATAGATGGTCAAAACTTGAAAAAGAAAATCGTTTCCACCACGGCCACCAGTGTACATATGTACACATGTATCTACATACATACGCCGGCGGAGAAATAAATAATGACGCGAGATGTTAACAACTTTTGGTTATTTTTCTTTGGTTTATTTAATGTTTATAGTTTTCTTATGAAATTAGATCTAACAAAAAGAGGTCCGAATTTCAATCTTTGTAAAAAAATTAGGAAAATTCGCCAAAGTTTCATTAAAATTTACAATTTTTAATCAGCATTAAACAATTTTTTTGACATACAGTTTTGTAGCCTATTAACTTTTAGTACGATGAAGTGCAAATTAAAGTTACAAAAAAGTCCCGTT